AATAAATAAAATAAGCTTATGATAAATATGCATCATTCGGCCATCAATTTTACATTTTTATAACTTGGAATAAACTTCGAAGTAAATCGAAATGCATCCCTTTCATCAACAGATAAGGATAAACCCTAGTAGCAGAGATGTTTTGTTCAAAGTAATTCTACCGCAGCTTTTGATGAATTTTTATGCAAAGTATAACAGTTAGCTTACCTTTTCGGCACCATGCTGATCGGTTGGATGTTGCGGAATATTTTTATATGCATTCAGGTAGGTGCTGCTCTCCTCCACCTTATCACATGGCTCCAACATATACTGTCCAGCTGGAGATGGGTCACGCACAAAATAGTTGGCTATACAACTTTTGGCACTATTTGAATGTATTTGCTTGAAGTTGGCTTCCTCTTCTAACTTATGGGCCCGGACAAAATTAATATCGTTCTGCTTTCGAGTGGCCTCCGGAGATACTAATGTGTTTTCAACACTATCTTGCAGCTACGAAAAACACATAAGAATAGGAAGAAATAAAAATAACAAGCGCGCATATAACAGCTTGTAGAGACATTTCACTTTCACAAAGAGGATGAAAATTATAGCATTTATTCGGTATTCAATATAGTACAGCAAATAAATAGATTCTGGTTTACGATATACCTTTGATAGATCCTTGTTGGCTGAAATACGTTCTACGTAGAAGAAATTATTAGATCTATCGCGCTAGATAACGCAAAGAGATTTTGCTGTAATGTGACAATTCTGGGATTGTTATGCAGACATGACCTCTGGAAAGTTTATTTTATATTTCTATGTAAAAAATGGGTTTTCCCTCTCATATTTAAGGGTTGTTTATCCCTTTCCTAGCCACTTCCAAAAAACTCTTAGTGTAGCCGTTCCATTCTAATTCGCTAGTAAGCATTTATAGCTTTATTAAATTTTATATTTTAGAATCCTTTTTTAATTTAGAGTTAGCAGTGAATTGTTGCCAGAATAAGGACTTGTATAATGATGACCTTTTTATGGCAAACGAAATCCAGGCCCTTTTTATCCACAAATAATGAACAAATTCGGCATACTGTGCCTGTACACTTATCTCAGTGAGGCCAAACCACAGCTGGAAAATTGGGGTCTGCTGCCATATTTTGGATGCATCAGCTCAAGAATCATTCCATCCATCTATATCACGAGAAATTAAGGTCAGCTTTAAACGTTTCATCATTATACATGTACCATGCATATTAAAACGTTCTATACTAAGGGGATCAAAATTATAAGATCTAACTAATGTAATAAGATCTATTTGCATCAAGAATAGGAATTTTCTATACTAAGGAGACTGTTCTACCGAAATTTAAACAATATGATTATACTAATATGAAATCAGGTTCACTGAGCGCAAAACTTGAGTTAAACTAAAACGTTTGTATAGTCAACTTTAAGATGCGGGTAGATTTTTTAAATGAGCTTATCTCGAATAAATAAATGAATATATATATATATTTATTTATAATTTATAGGAATGGCACATTAACTCGATATACTTTCTGGCAGAAAATAAGGGTTATCTAAGATACGAGAGGTAGTTATACGAAGTATCTTCACAAGAGACGCATCTTGCTTGGAGATATTGGAACCCATGCCTTCATTCTAAACGTATGTGCCTTGATCAATGGTTTGTCCTACTAAATTTCCAAAGTTCGAAGTTCTGATGCCACTGCTCCTGCGTTTGAGACTCCGATGAGATAGCAACTGGTAGTACTGAGAATACTGAAAATGTAAGTATGAAATATGCCAAAATATCATGTGTGGCTCAATTGGGATTGATTACCTTCCTCCAAAATGCAAGATAAATTTCATTATTTACCTTACGTAATATTCTAGAGGATGGGAATAGAAAGTCACAGAGCTAAAGATATTATACTCTTGGAACCTAAAAAGGTACTTAAAAATATATTCTTATTCACAATTAATTGTCTTAAGGCACAAGTGTCTTTGCACCACTGTGTGAAGATTCGAACCATTATCCTTTGACATTTTGCCTCAGTAGATACACAAATATTTAAGGAGTATCAATCAATTTATGATATTGAGAGTAGCTTTATAATTAATGACGACTTAATAGCTAGCGCATTTAGAAGTGGCCCTAAGGTGACAACCAGTGCTGTGTATATTGCGAAACGACATGGTTCGATCTCTATTTCCCGAATCTTGTTGAACGTTTTATCGTGTGGCTTTATGTTAATATTCAAAGCCTTTAAATTACTATCAGCAAAAAAACTCCACCTTTTTGAAGGCTTGTTCAGAGAAAATGTATATCAGCTGAAATTTCCTATGACCCACAATAATATTAATGAAATGGTGAAAGCGTACATTGCGTTCATTATCAGAGCAGGACAGCTCCTCTCGTCTCCAGGTTGGTTCTAGATTGGCCTGAAGATCCTTTCCGGCTGAGGCTAGTGATGGATCCAACCGGCGCACAACGCTTCCGTCTCCACCATCTGTCTCAGCCTCAAAGCAGCCGCCGACACCAGCGCTACTGGTACCAGTTCCTGTAATCATTGCCGGGCATGGCAGCGAACCGGCTGGCAGATTGAGACCAAGCGACGGTGACCAAGTTCCCGCTTGCAGACTAGCCAAATCAATGTCAGCAAACAGGCCCGTAGCTTGGGTCGGGGTGTGGTGTGACGGAACAGAGTGGCTCTTGTCACTTAGGCACACACCGTTTACCACACGAGACTCTATCTCGACGGCTCGCAGCTCAGCATTGTGCTTTTCCTCCTGAATGAGCCAGTTAGCAGAGGATAATGAGGAAAACAAGTACAGATTTGTAGAATTACAGTACAAAATAGGTAGTAAAAATACCTTTAACTTGGGTACCTGTCTGAGTAAGCTAGGTCTTTAAGACAGCCCTTGGAGTCAAGTTGATTTATAGAAAAGTGCTTCATTGAATAATTTTAGTCTTTCGACAAAATATAAGGAATTATTAAATTTTGACGCATGCTAGCAACCAGAAACTTTGCTAACAATTGCCAAAAATACCGGCGATATCACTGCTGATGGAAGATAGAAAAACATATTGAATAGACCAAGTGTAGCCTGTTTTTCAAGTTAACCAGTAAGTCTGAACCATGAAGTTCAGTTCTTTTTCATCCGCAAGTTTAAAAATGCATGCAAGCGTGCAGGTCTACTCATAGGACAAGTTTATAGCGGACTTGACTAAGAGTCACTCTAGTTTGAATCAGGTGACAAGTATTAATAAATGCATTTTCCAACCTCACGTTTCCCTCAAATTTCGCATAGCCTTGCTTCCTAAAAGGTAGTCTCATTTAGAGTTTACTGCAGTCTCAACTTAGCGCCCCTAACGGGAATCGGACTAGGGTACTGCCCCAAGTGCCCCTGTGTCATGGAGCAGAATCGCATTTTACGAAAGGCCAGATCGTTTTATATTGCATTTGGGAGTGACGATAAGAAAACTTGTATTTTGCCATTACAATAGACTACATTACTTATATTAAGATAAATTTGGCTTTTAGACCATCAGTAAATTTTGAATAAGAGTTCTAGATATTCTATACTCGTTAAGTTGATAAAGGATAGGAAGTTGAATTGTACCAGAAGCCTATGTGCAGGACTTACGTTTTCAGCGAATTTTCCAGGCGATTGCGAAACTGTAGTCTGCTCTGAGAATAAATTTTAGAAGCAAGACCATCTGTAATTTAAAGAAAACGGGACGCCTCCTCATTACATTGTGGCGAAATTCTACTTTAGGTTTTTCATCATCCTATGCAACCTAGAGTGAATAGGACACTTATTTAATAGTTTCCTAATTCTAAACCCATTTTATCTAAATGTATTATCAAACTAATAGTAACTAATTCGCCATCTTGCAATATCACTCAAGGAGAGTAACCGAAGTGTTATACCACGATGTGTAAAAGTCTCTAGCGAATAAAATGGACTTTGTTTGCGAAAAAATCGCCCACATTCACAGTTTCTGAACTAATAGGACAAAAACTTTTGTTTT